TACCAGGCTGTAACATCCAAGGCTGATGTTACTGGCTGCAGACAGAAAGAAGTTACAGGTTAGTGAGCTACACTGGCCTGCTGTATTCTTTGTTAGTTATTAGGATGGAATCCAAAATGACCATCTTTATCAGATAGCTGTGAAATATAGAATTTTGGGAAAAACTTGCTGCAACTAGTGAAGAACAAAGTAGTAATATAGAACCCATTGATCTCTACACTAAATCAGATATAATCAAATAATCCAGTGAAGACTGTAGAAATAGTTCAGTCAGGAAACGGAATCTTTGCACAGTGAAGGTGGGTTTAATCTCCCTGTATCTGTGATCTTCAGCTCAATCCCACAACGTGGCTTAGTCTTGGCCTGTTGTAATTCCTAAAGCTTCCTCCTTTTTAATCCCGTTGCTCTCTGGTCTCTAGCTCGCACGAGAGTATGTGCCCCAAACTCATTAGATATTCAGACAACATCAGATGAAATGTTTTCATTGGTTTCATGCACACAAATTACCCTTAACATACCCATTGAGAATTACATCCTATTTATCTCAGATCGCCTGACAGCAAGATCAAATACTTTCAGTTTCCTGCTACAGTTCAACATAAACGCTCAGGCTAGGTATTCTGAGGTTAGAGGAGCTGATGCAGGCTAATGCATTAGCCTTCCACCTCTGCACACTTACCATCAATCCTGCCTAGTTGTTCCAATGAAACTGTGCCTGATCCACACTTCTTAATTGCTAATGAGTATTTACTCATCTGTTGTCACCAAATTCAAAGCGCCTTTCAACCTGAGCAAGTGTTCAAAGCACACCCAGTCAAAAACAGCACCAGAGCTGGGTTTCACATGAAGAGCCATTTCCAAATGTCCAAAATTACAGAAAAAACCCTAACAGTGTAACAAAATGTCTGGGTTTTTTGCCAACAGCTGATCAATATGCTCAGATCATAGTGATCTGTCCATCTGACTGTCCATCAGGCACTTCAGCTGTTGCTGGTCCAAGAATAGCTAGCAGAGAATTTTGGTCTTCCTGCCTATGAGATGTGTCCAAGCTGTAAACTTTAGATTTAGAAGAGCATGGAGTGATTTAGCTGGAAGGATCTTCTCAAGTTCAGCCCTGCCAAGGCACACTGCTCCTATATGCCAGGAGATATTAATAAGTAAACCCACGTGGTAAAGAACTGCATGTTGGGGACTATGATCTGGATATGCCTCCCTCAGCCTGGTCATAAACAATTAGGTTCATACATGAATCAGAATTTCTGCGGGATTCAAGGATTTCTTCTCAAACAGATCCCGACGAATTGGTTAGACTTAAAATGTGTTTCAGTGACTATGAAGGCAAAAGAAAAGGGATAAGGCTTGCAGGCCATGGTGCCAGTGAAGCAGAAGAGGTAGCTGGAGATGCTGATCTCAAGCCTATTCTATTTTTAACGACTCTATATTCTTTCTTTCCATCTTTTGAACAATATGACATTTTATCTCAATTTCTGATACACTTTGTAAGAGCTTACACAGTAGCCATTTACCTTAGTTCTAGTGAGGAAAATTAAATCTGCTAGTACAGGCCTGCTGCTGCCTGTACCCCCTTTCTGTTTAAATCAGGCAAATCTACCAGATGACTGTTTCCCCTGTAACAACTATAAAGAGAAAGCTGTGATTCTGGAAATGTTTCTGTCTTATTATTTTAGAGAAACCATTTTTGCTTACTTCCCAGACACATCCAAGTTCTTCACATTTTTCTTGTGTTGGGTCAATACTGGGATAACAATTAAACCTTGCATTGACGCTCAGTTGTTGAGTCCATTGTACTGTGTAAGATTTCCCCAGTTCAAGCTGAAGTCCTGTTATGAGAGCAACCTATAAATATTAAACAATGAATAGTTATTAAATCCCACATCAAAGCCATCTTTCCTTCACTCAGCAGAGGTGCCAGTCCTTGGGAACAACACATTTTGCTATGTGACAACTCACAGAAAACCTGTCCTGTAACACATGATGTAGTCTCACTTTTATAAAAAACAAACAACATGCAACTGGTATTCTTGCCCATAAAATCTGAAAAATTGAAAATGTAAAAAAATGGAGTCAATCCCACAGCTTCCTTGGAAGCAAACAGGAATAAAGAGAAGGGCACAGCTCCTTCATGTTTTGAAATACAAATGCAAGAGGTAAGAAAAAGTTAAAATACTTTAATTTTGATTCAGTAACAGATAACACCACAGCCAGCTCAGGTGTTTGTAATAATTAAAGACGGTGTACAGTGTAAGTCCAAAGCAATGACAGCACTATCCTTAGTGTGGGAAAATGTTTGCATGAAAGCTTCGCGCTAGCAGCAGCGCATTCGTTTGCTTTGCGCAGAAATGCACTGTGTGGCTGCTTTCCTGTATTCATCCAGTGAAAAACTCTGTATAGAATGTTAAAGATGGTTTAAACAGTGCCCTTGATTTTGTTTTAAAAAATCAATGCACAAATACTCATCTAAACCATGAAGACTTTTTATCCTCCTTCAATATCAAACAAAATCACAAAGCTATTCCTCCTCTTAGAAATTAAATTTTGCTGCATGATGATCTGCATAACTCAACTTTCTGTTGCACTGGGGGTCTGAAAGCAAAACTGAGCTGTACTTTCTATGCAGCAGCATTGAATGCTTTTGTTCTGTAATAAAATACATGATATATTCTGTTAAAACAACATTAGTACTCTGTAGCAATATGTAAAAAATGGTGATGCAATTTCAAAGATGTTTATTTCCCATTTTCCTGTTATTGTTTTACCTTTTCTAGAGGATAATAGGTGATATTAAGTGGAAAATCCTGCACAACATTATTCTGAGATACAGTAACTGCTGTTATTTCCTGGTCTGCTCCCAATATCTTGATTTCTTCAAATTTCAAGTTGTTTGGATCAACATAATTGCTGTTTATAGCATTCATTTGTAGAACATTCTGAAAAATAATATGGTGATCACATTCTTAAAAAAAAATCTGCCAAAAATCCTCCTGATTTAACAATTTTATCTAATTAGATCTTCACACTGTAAAGTAAGCCAATAACTTTTTCTTGTCATATTAATTATTGCCTTGCTTGTTGTTCTCACAATAATGCTTTTCCAATCTATATACAGTATGTTTCATAGGTGTGTTTCAGCTGTCTTTCTTTGCTTGTTTCAGAATTATGAAAAGGCTGACACGTGTCTGTGACAGGGCAGATAACCTTTACTCAGCTGTGATCTCACCAGGATCTAACAAATACAGGTTCATATTCAATTTTCCTGATATAGAAATAGCATTTCCTATTCAATGGCATTAGTTATTACTAGGTTAAGAGTCCAAAGAGCAGAATTGTACCATGGCTGTTACATATGCCAGTGTATAACTTCCTTATTACTCTCCACGTGAAAGTTTGTATTAATTTTTAATTCAACATCATTACAGTCAACTGATTATTTGGCTAAAAGAGTTTTGAACTCCAATAGTAACTGACATTTCTTGTCTACAAATCATTATATAATTATATGTCATTAAAAAAAAAATAATGCATGTGCTTCCAATTTGTATTCCTTTGGTTCCACTCCCATATTTCTATGCATTCTCCCTCAGTTGCTGTCCTGCTGCTTCACCGTGGCAAGGGAAAAAATACCTTTAGCAGATATAGTAATCATCATCATCATCATCATTATCATCATAATGTTATTCTTATTTAAATACATTATCATATTGCTTGGGATCCTTGTCATAGGATATCTCCACTCAATATTGAATGGAAACACTATCTGGACTTCACTCTGCCATAAATTTAACCTGCCAAGGCAGTTTCAGTTTTAAAAAATTTTAAAAATAAGACTTTTTCATGAAGCAGATTCTGTAGGTTCCGACAAAATGTAGCTCTTCCTCTCACTCTTTGGAAACATTCGGCTGTATTTTTATGGTGTACAAAGATTTTTTTCAACTTCTCAATATTTTAAAAATGCCAAGTACTACACCACCTCCTTTCTGACTTGGTTTTAACTGCCACTGATGCTTTATAGTTCTCTTGCTCAATAAATATTGCTGCTGAGTTTGTTATGTGAAAGGAAACCGGAGTTCTTTAAATACTTCTATGAACTGGGAGAAGAAAAGATAAATAGCAGATTTTCATCCCAGTTAAATTACAGTATTTTGAGCATGAATGCTCTTTGACTTTGTCAAATATTTTGCTTCTCAGTAAATCTTTTAGAAGGACAAGGAGGGAGCAAAGTATGCCCTTTGAAGATACTGTTGATAAAAACTGAAAATGAAAAGACCATTTAAAATAAAATACTTACATTGGAAACTGTAAACTCATAGTAAATGTAGGTTTTACTCTCAATTGTACCTGAAAGGTAAAGAAAGAAGTTACACTTGCAGTGCAGAAAGGAAAGGCATTAAAAGCAGGACTGCACCACTGCTAGAGATCAATGAATTGTTAATTATTATCATTACTGCATGAGCAACTCAAATATTTGCGAATTTTTCATTCAGGAACTGAAATTTCTCTTTTTCTTTTTTCCTCAGGCCAGTCTCTTAGGAGATCTAATTTTCCAAATTTTTCCCAAAATTCATTGAAAACAGTTTTTCTAAAATACACTAATTTTTTATTTTACTGTTACTCCTTTTAAATGTCTCTTAAATGTAGGTAAAAGTTAAACCCCCTAAAATAGCCTAAATAAGTGTTTTTCATGCAAAAATGACAATAATATTAGTAATCTACGCCATGGAATCATAAGAGAGGAAGTAGCAGGCCACTGGGAAGAAGAAATAGAAAAGCTGAGTCAGTCTGACATTTTTTTCCATGCATGAAAAGAAACATACTGTCATTGCAAGCAAATTGTAAACAGCTTCCCCAAAAAGTCTGCAGCCTGTAAGTTTTGGGTAGGATATAACATCGTAAGATATTTTATTGTTTTGTTTCTCAACAGAAGTGAGGACAGTAATAGTTATTTTAGGCCTTGACAAAAGAGTACATACAACTGTCATATCAGCAGTCACCCAAGGCCTTCGATATTTATGGCAGCAATAATCAGCCAAATCACAGCTCTATTTCTTTGAAGTGTTCCAAACATCCATAAAATTTAAAAAAAGTAGAGGCTTGGAAGTTTTTCTGGGAGGTATGATTGGTATAGTTAAAATAACAAAAGGGAGTTATATAGGTCAAATGTATAATGTAGAGGACAAAGTAGCTATGCAATTAGGAAAAGGGTGATGCAGTTTTGAACCCCAAGAGTTGCTTGCTTTCACGGAAGTTTAGTCAGAGCCCTGGGCCCTGCACAAGTGAAAAAAATCAAATGTGACTAAGGAAAATGTAGCTTTTAGTGACTGAAGGGTAAACCAGAGAAACTGGACCACTTCAGTACCTACAAGAAGGTGGTTAGGTGTATCAGAAGACAGATGTAAGAATGCACCAATTCAGATACCACCAGTGGATGGACAGTGGTGAGGTTAATTCACATGAGATAATCTCTGTCACCTCCTGAACATCTAAAGATCTGTCCAGAAAACACACATGCATATCTAGACATTTTGTGTATAAAACACCTCCATGAATCACTAACTGAAGGATCTCTAGACAATTTTCAGGATTGTAAAGTGAACATGCATGCGATATTCTAGTGTTATTTGTTTTTACCTCAATGATAATAATACTCCAACTTCATTATCATTGTGCTTTCTTACTGTTGCAGTTTTTCCTATTTTTTAAACTCCATTTTATTCCAAAGTAGCTAAAGAAAGCTCTGACATTTTTGCCACTGACAGCAGTCTATGGATACAATAGGATTTGAATTACAGATGATCGAGTCCACTTGAAATTCAATAGCATTAACTGGTATAAGTCATAAACCAAAGTCCTCTAGCTATGAATGTTATGGTTCCTTGCAAATAAAACAATAAAATCTGTCAAATGCAAGTCCCTAAATCATCTAAATACAAGCTTGAGTATTTTGTAAAAGTTCTTCAAAAAATCATTTCAAAGTAACCCTTTGAACTGCTTGATGACTTTTCTAAAAAGTATGTAATAAAGGACAAAGGCTGCAAAAGCATCCTAATGGATTCAGAGTACCCCAAATCCTCTTAGTTTAATGAAAACAGGGTGTCTAAGTAAATCCTCAGAAATCCCACAGAAAATCCCACAGTTTGAGAAAACTTATTTTTCAAAATTTCCTTCATCTCAAGATTAATATGAAGAAAATATCTAATTTTTGCAAAGTTCTTCCATTGCTCTAGAATGAACTTTGCATTCTTTAGAAATGCATATATTCCAAAAGTGGTTTTAACATTAAATTAGGGGTTTATGTTTTTTTTTTTTAATATACTTGTGTTGAATTAAGTTGCGACCTCAATCTTACCCTAAGCAAAAAGGGTACGTGTGTTGTAAGTTGACAGATCAATGCCAGTTCACCACAAGAGGTGTGGTTGACAGACCTTGGCATAACCATGGTGACCATCGCAGGGGGAAACAAGTTCTCCGGCAGCACTACTAAAGGCGAGGTTGGCAACATGACAAATGCAGCCCGCACACACTTACTCGCGTGTCTGTGCACCAGTATGCTGCGGAAACCAGATGGCATAAAAAACGTTGGCTCCAATACCATACTTTGAGTTAACAAAATTTCTACTGTTTTCACAAGCAATTTACATAATTCCAGAGAGTTAATAACAGTGCTAGTTTTTCATATTCTACCAATTCTTAGTGTCAAACACTAATTATGTGCATTCTTGCACCCGTTGAAACAAATTTGGGCATATACCAGAATATATATCAATCTTGACGACAGGGCTTAACAGTCAGCACACGAATGTCCCAAGCCTTTACATACTTAAGGCTATAGGAAACCTAAACAGGAAAAAAATAGATCAATAATAGTTACATTTTCCACTTAATAGTGGTGAAAAACTATTAGCATACAAGCAAACACTAATAGCGTGTTACGACAATGTCTTCTTCTTGCTCCATGAAATCAGTAGGAAGACTGAAACGTTTTAGGTATTAATACCTTGTTAATCAGACTTCTTTCAGTGCTGATAACTGCTCACCTGTAGATTCTCCATCATCCCAGAACAAGTCTCCAGAAGCTGCACTGTTGTCATCCAGGGCAATTATAAGTCCCATTGGATTCTTACGGCTGCAGAAAGAGAGCCTTTATGTCTTACATGTAGATCAAATATCCAAACAGTCTTAATACACCCTTCATGTTCATGCTAAGAATGGGACACTCAGCAGGGTTGCAATACTTTGAAAACTGCCTTAGGCGAGTCCTTGATTGCCTTTCATTTTCATGTAAAGAGATTAAAATACAAGGCAAGTTTACAAAATGCCATGCAAATAAACCTGTAATTAATCACGGAAAGGAGGTATGGCTCACAGTTATTCCCATATTTCAAGGTGAAAATACTAGATGTGATGCACTGCTACTGATTTGAAAGTCCTCAGCCCAGTCTTGAAAAAAACCCCCAAACCCAACCAAAAGAATTTCATTTGGAAGCATACCTTGCAACTGTTGTGTTAGCTGGATTTTGAGTTGGGTAAATATAGCCTCCTCTCAAATGAAGTCCCATTTTGTCTTCTGGAAGGTACAGGTCTGTCCATTCTTTTCTCACTGAGATTTTTGCCCCCTTATTGACAGGAACGGAGAAGAGAACAGGTACATTGCATTATTCACTGCTGCGATTTAAGTCCTGAGTCTTGTCTTCATGCTTCCTTTTAGAAATGGCTGAAGTTTCGGAAACATCTATGTGCCAGTGGGCACGTAAGCATAGAACAACTGCGTATCAATAGGATCTAATGTTATAAGTCAACACGTTGAGCTAATTGGTCAATGCAGAGAGCAAGTCCTGTTGGGACTGATGCAAACAGTGTCCTTGCGCACCTATCAAAAGAATCATCACAGCAGCAGGAAGCTTATTCACAGAAATAAGATGAGTAAACAATAACTGCCGACTCTTGAGTATTATAATTAGAATTGTTCTACCTTATTTTATGTCAAACATGGTCATTGCTAAAGTTTCCACTCAATCTCTCTTCCCATTCCCTGCTCTATGTTCCACACCTCTGTGCCTATTTCTTCAGGTGTTGATTCATGCACTTACCCCACCACCCTTCATGCTTTGTCTCACCATTTCCTTCCTGTGGGCTTTACTTTCGGTCACTGTCACCAAAGCAGAGCTGACAATCTTATTTTGTCACATAGCCATTTAGAAAATCTCCCCAGAGTATCCTCTGCTCTTACTTACTGTATCGTACTCATACCATATTGCATCAGGAATGTACGCTTGAATTGTATCCATACCCTGAAAGGTGAACAAAGAAACAGCTTTCATATTTGAAGGCAACTCAATCTATTAAACCAAATTTTCCAATGAAACTAAGATTCACATTGAGAGAATCATTGATACTTCTCCTCTTCGCTGTTTGCTTTAATAGTTTTTATGATGATGTCCAGAAATGAAGACAGCAATCTAAGAACAATTTCTGCAAAGCTACTGGGAGACAACTGAATCACTGCTCTACAATGCGGCAGCTGATTGTATGCAACCCAAAGTCACAGTGCTTCAAATCCAGTGATCATATCCACAACTATCTCTAGGTCTTCTTTATTTTCTTGTTTTTCTGGGCTGGTGTGTTTCAGATTCTGGCTTTCATTTTATGTATTTATCAAATGTTTTGTGTTTCTGCATGGCATTTATGTTACTGGCATTAACAATTGTTATTTATAAGATTCTGCCTCAGACAAAGCCACGATCTATTTGTTTCCTTGTTGCATCTCAGACAAGCTGAAATATAGTAAGAAGCTGATTCTGAATGAAATGCAGAGCTGATACAAAGATGAGGTGAATCGGAATATCAGACCAGATGACTTGGAATCCCTGGAGGACTGGAACACAGGAGTGGGATTTAATAGCACAAAGTGCAAGAGTTTCCATTACAGCAGTGATAAAAATATGCTGTGGGCTTTCTCACCGGCAGCAATAGATGAAGGAGGAAAAAAAAAAGCAGCAAAACCTGGGCTTCTTAGGAGTCCATCAAAAAGTGATGTGATGTACCCATGAAAAAAGAAATATAATCTAAGGATCTAGGAGAAAACATGTTTGCACTGGAGACAGAGCGGTGTTCATGCTAATGAACAAGGCCCTCTGCATTTATTTTGCCAACAGAGTTTACAGATCTGATCAAGACAGAAGAGTTCAGAGTAGAACAGGAGCAGAGCAAATTTCCTGGGATCCTCAGGGAAATGGCAGAGCCTACTTTTGTGGCTCAGCTTGTTCAGCATAAAAGAGGAGGAGTGTGATTTCAGC